TTTAATCCTCCAACAGCCCGGGAAGTAGGTTCCCATTTAAAACCTGAGTCAACACCTTGCCCAGCTACCCCCCCCCCCTCCTGGGATTAGCACCCAAGGAATCATTGGCCCGGGAGCTCACTGGAGCCCACTTTTGCCTTCCACCACTTCCCTCTGGTGAGTTGGGGACAGGAGGAAGCCGGGCAGAAGTCCCCTTTCTGAGGGTTTGAGGACGGAGCAGTGGCTGCAAATCCCAGAGGCACAATTGTCAGCCAGGGGGGCGAACAGCTGCCCCCCATGGGTTCACCACGCCTGAGCACGCGGCTCACCCACATGGGAACCCGGTCCCAGGAATATTGAATACAGAGCAAGGTGGTAACGGGCCTGTTTTGCGGACTCAAAAAAAGAGCCCTAGCCGGTTTGGCTCAGTGGGTAGAGCGTCGGCCTGCAGACCGGGTTCGATTCCGGTCAAGGGCATGTACCTCGGTTGCAGGCTCCTCCCTGGCCCGGGCCCTATTAGATGTGTTTTCTCTCACATGCTAGTCCTTTCTGTCTTTCCCTCTCTCTTCCACTCTCTGTAAGAAAAATCAACGGAACAATATCTTTGGGTGAGGGTTAAAGAAATATATAAAAGAAAGGAAACTTGGCCTCCTCGGTGGGCGGCCTCTCCAGATGGAAATGAACAAGGAGATGTTCCCAGGTAAACACATACAGTCTTGTCCTGTCTCCCTTCACCCCGGTCATGGCCAGCAGAAGGGGCACTGAGCCGGCCCTGTGGGTCTCCTCTCGGGGCGCAGGCCGGTCAAACAACACGGGGCTCCCAGCGCCGGCAGGAGCGCCCTCTGTGCCGGGCGGCGCTCGGAGCCCTGTCCTGGGATCATTTCACCTGATCCTCCTACCTGCCTCCAGGACCGCCCGTCCTGTTACGTCCCCCCTTTTCTCGGACGGAGACCCCGAGAGCCCAGATGATGTGAGCCGAGTCCTGCGCCCCGCAGACGGCAGGCGCCCTCCCTCCATGGTGAGGCCTGAGAGAGGACCGGGACCGCATTCCTTATTCATGTGCTCGCCTTTTTGGTACGGGCTGTCCTTCTCCCTTTCCTGGAAGTCACTGTCCCCGCTGTGGATGGAGAAGCGCGGGAGACAAGAACCGAAGCAGGTCTCTCGATGGGAGCAGAACAGGGCGAGCAGGAGGCGGCCGGTACCTCCATCGTGTGACATGAAGTCGGTGGCAGAAATGACAGAAAGGAATGGTGGTGTCCGGCGAGGGGGTGGGTGCTGGGAAGGGGCTGGATGGATCAGCAAGGACTTGTGCACGTGAAGAAAGTATAGGAAGGGCTTTGGAGGGGAGGGAGAGCAGGGCATCCCGGCTCCAGGCCCTGCCCCTGTGTGGTGACGGATGGGGTCCCTTCTGGCCAATGGGAAGGTGTCCTTAAAACTGTCCCAAAGTCCTTCCTTGCTGGGCAGGCGCTCCATCCTGGGAATCGGAAGCCCCTCACCTCGCCCTGTGCTGCCTGCATGGGTGAGGCACAGTCCGGGGGATACAGTCTGAGTTGATGACAGCCCTGCCTCTCCCTGGGACTGCCCCCCGCCCCCCCGCCCCCCGCACGCACAGCATCACCGGCTTTTTGATGGTCTCCCCCAGCTGCTCCGCACAGGGCCCGCCAGGAATCACCACCCTAAGTCACAGAGGGGGAAACTGAGGCCCTGCAGTTAGGGGCCAGCTGCCCAGGTCTGGGGGGATCCAGGAGTCCCCCTTGGCCCCACCGCTAGGAGTCCTGGGCCAAAAAGGAGAGGGCAGGGCTCCTAGGTGGTAACCTGCCCCATGGAGCCTCAGTCTTCCCATCTGTCAAGTAGGGATGGAGGTTCCTCAGAGCCAGCGCACAGGCCCCAGCTGAGTGCCGGCGGTGCCTGGGCTGCTGTGCGGAACATACCAAGCCCGCCCCTCCCCCAGGCAGCCAGTCTGATGGGGGAGGCTGACAGCTAACACGTGGGAAACACGACAACCCCCTTCAGGTTCCACGGTGTCTGCCGGTGCCAGCGCCGAGTAACTCCAGGGGCTCCCCCCAATCCTGGGGGCGGTTTATCTCTGGGTCCCGGCGTGGGGGCCGGCGTGCCTGCCGCCCCAGGAGCAGGGATGAGGGCCTCTCGGAGCCGGGGCAGGCCCCAACTTGAGGCGGCTTCCGCAGGACTTGATTTATCGGCAGCCACTCGGCAGCCCGGGGGAGCCGCGGGCCCAGGGCGTGTTGGGTCCCCCCAGCTGGAATGAATCCGGCGGGAGGATGCGTTGGGTCATGCTTGGGTTGTCAAGAACCGAAGAATAATATTCCCTCTTCAAAATATTCCCCGTGGATACCACACTCCCTCGTTCATCCCGGGCAGAAGCTAGGGAATCCTACGCCAGTGCTCTGTGACATCAGGCAAGCCCCTCACCCTCTCTGAGCCCCAGGGACCCTCCTCTGAAGTGGGGAAAGGGGTCACCCAGCTGCCGGGCTTGCTAGGGGATGGGATTAGATAATCCACGAAAGGGCTCCGCTGTGCGCTGATAAACTCCACCCTGTGTAAGAAGAGCAACCGTCTCAGGTGTTGGTGTCTGGCTGCCTCTGCGGCGTCTGTAAGTTGGGAACAGAGTATCTTGAGAAAGTTTGGCCATTCCGGTCCATCTGGAACCGTCACTCAGCAAACCCAGGTGGCAGAGGCGTCCCTAAGCCTCCTTGTAGCTCAGGAAATGCCGATGCTGCAGCCAGTGAGCAAGGGAACCAGGTGACAGGAGCTTGGGTGTGTGGGTCTTGTCTTTCTTGGGCGGTGCCAACATTGGCAAAGAGGCCTTGGTTTCCTGCCTGGGAAATGGGCACACGCATTGCTGTGTCGGCTCCTGGAGATGATGCGTGTAAAGTGAAGTGCGGAGCCCCTCTTGGAAGCGCTCTCTTCGGCTAGCCCTCTTGCCAATCCAGATCTTGCAGTGCTGGGAACAGAACTCCTCTTGGGGGTGCTAGGCATCGGAGTCACTGGGCGTATAGACAGCGTGGGCCCCAGGGCAGAAGTGTGAAGGCTGTGCACACCCATCGCTAGAACCCAGGGCTGGCTCACTGTGTGCAGGGGAGCCTGAATCGGAGGCCACTCCCTTCCGGCTTACCTTCTCCCCAGAAAGCCTGGCTGCCTCACCGCCACTAACCAGGCTCACAACCTGAGCGTCTCCTTCCGGGAAATGGGGCGAAGACTCCAATTTCATGGACAGGAGCGTGTCCATCTGGCCATTGCCAAGAAGGGGAACGAGGCTTGGGGGCTTCTAGACGGGTGCAAGGACCCCTGGCCTTCTGACCGTCCCCAGAGACTAATGACAGTCCCAGAAGCCCTGTGTGGGGGTCTCTCTGCATACCAGGCGAAGACAAGGCCCCCAGGGCGATGACGTCACCCCCACTTCAACCAGGAACTGAGGCTGGGAGAGGGAAAGTGGCAGACGCCTCGGCACTGCACGCGGTGGTGGGACTGGGACTCTAGCCCCCAGTCTGTGACTCCACAGTGACTGTGCTATGACTCCGGCTCCTCAGGGGGAGGCTGTCTGCCCCGTTTCCTGCTGGACCCGCAGGGCTAGCGCACACCTGGCCCCTGGCTGGAACTCCACAAAGGCCTATGAATGGAATGAATGAGGGAAGGAGCCAAGGAGAGAACTTCCTCTCCAGCCCCAGCTCCTCCCAGCATCCCAAAGCTGGGTGTCTCTAGGGCTCCAGGGTGGGGGCCCCAGACCCGGTTAGTCACAGCCTGGCCTTGGCTGCCTGGGCCCGTCCTTCTGGGAGGATTTTCTCAGCTCCCGAGGGAGGCCTCACTCTTAATCCCAGAAGGCGAGATGGGCGAGGCGACTCCGGCCTGGCTGGGCCTGCACAGTGTGCCGAGGAGGGCGGGTAGGTTATGGAGTTCAGTATCTGGGTGTGCTCTCTTGGCCCAACGTGGGCCCCCCAATCCCAGCTTTTCTCATGTCTGCTGAATCAGAAATTCACCTTCGGGGCTGTGTGACCTTGGGAAGGTCACCTCTCCTCTGAGATTCAGGCTATATAAAAGGGGAATAATGAGAATAGTCATCCATGTACAGTATGTCTCAGAATAGAACCATTGGTCACCGGGGGGCAGTAAGTTAGCAGTCCTCCATAAGGACTGCTCTATTCCTTCCCTGCCTCAGAACTCCCAGTTCTTGTGCTCTTTGAGTCTAATTCAGACTAAGGTGTGAATGGTTGTCAAACAACCTTTCCCTCCCGTGTGTCTAACCCAGACATCACTAGGACCTGTGATGTTTCTGGTGCTGTGTGACCGAGTGAGAAGGACATGGAAGGGATTTTTTTTTTTTTTTGCTAAGCATGTAGGGAGGAATAGACTCCCTCACCCTTATCACCCAAAGTCCCTTTATACGGCAGTTGAGGATGGGCAAAGGGCATTGGTCTGGTTGGGGGAATCCAGACTTTCAGTCTTTACTGCACTGAGCAGTTTGGCACCTCTTGTTAAGGAAGTTCCAGCACATAGTAGACCCTTAGCGAATGTCTTTCTGGAAGATGACGAGAGAATGGGCTGTGGTCTGGACCTGGACAGCCTTCCCTAGCACCCTTTCACTGCATCTGACGAACTCCTACACATCCTCCAATGCCCAGCTTAGATGCCCCTCCTCTAGGAAACCTTCCCAGCTTGGTTCAGGTCCAGCTAATCTTTTGGGAACTCTAGTTCATCAGAGATGAGCAAACCCCCCAGTCTATCCTTTCCAACCATCCTATTTCCCAAGGGTGTACAATGGCCACCCAGCAGGAGGACTTCGCTGGCTGAGGTCTCGCAGCCGAATCCGAGGCAAGAGCAGGGGGATTTTAACCAGGCGTCGCCTTCTCCAGATCTCTGCAGAATGCCTTCAGGCACGACAGGAGGGCATGCATGCTGCCTCTCTCCTCATGCCTCTCCCACGCTGCCCGCCCCGCCCCCCTCCTCCCAGGGCCTCCTACAGAGCTGAGCGAGCCTCTAACCCTCTCTTCCTTCTTTCTCCACAGCCCACGACCTCCCCGCGAACAAGGCCTCCGCAGCCCAGCCCGGCAGCCATTTGCAGTGCCTGTCTGTCCACTGCACAGACGACGTGGGCGATGCCAAGGCCCGAGCCTCCGTGCCCACCTGGCGGTCCCTGCACTCCGATATCTCCAACAGATTCGGGACATTCGTGGCCGCCCTCACTTGAATCGACAAGAATGCCCCCTCCCCCGCCAGGCCCTTCCCTGCCCTCTCCCCCCTCTCCTCCCCCTGAACCCCATCCCCACCCCCCCTCCCACCCCTCTAATAATTGGAGAGGGCCACTATTGCTGAGTGAACGAATTATTTTCTAGATTGGTACCTGCGTAGTGGCATATGGACCGGAAAGGGTTAATTTAAAAGGGAAAAAAAAGAACAACCTCAAACTTTTTTTTTTTTTTAAAAAGAGAAACTGTCTGCCACAGTATGTTACCAGTGTTAAATTAACCCTTCTGCAGTTAGCAAACTTTTGCTTAAGCCTTTTCCTTGCTTAGATAATTCCCGTTTTCCTGTCATCTTGGCGTATGGTTTTTTAGATGGCCCCTCCCTTTGTTTTATTTCCACGCTGCTGTATGTCCAAGTATTGTTATTTCATAATAAGACAAGAGTCGCGTTCCTTTTTTATTCTCTTTTATTCTTGTTCCTCCCCCCGCACCTCCGCCTCCCCCCCCCTTTATTTTTTTTCTTTTCTTTTTTTCTTTTGCTTTGTTCACTGCTTATTAAAATGGAAATCCTGGAGAAGAGTAGTCCTGGAATATTGCCGGGTGAAAGTCAAATTGTCATCACAATATTATATATTGACATCCAACTGTCATCAGTCAGGCAGGAGCCAAACAATGAATGCCCCCCTTAGGTATTCCACCGGGGATTTTGTTTTGTCTGTTCCCTAAGAAAAAAGAGAGAGAGAGAGAGAGAGAGAGAGAGAGAGAGAGAGAGAGAGAGAGAGAGAGGTTTTCTTCCCTGCAAACACACGCTCAGCTTTCTGCTGGAGGCCGCCCCTCTCTGCACCGAGGTGGTGACGTGGCCAGCCCGCTCTGTGGGAAGGACTCACCACGCTTGACAGCGGCGTTTTTTTCTCCTTCTCTGGGCCTCTCCACAAATGCCCGGGCTCCGAATTGTCACGCTATGCTGAGCAGCCATGGGGGATGGGGGCCTTGGAGCCTGCAGAGTCTCTGGGGTGGGGGGCTCCAGCCTCCAGCTCTGCTATAGCCAGGCCGCTGGGGCTTGGGCGCTGGAGTTGGGGGCGAATCAATGCTGAGCCGTTGACCTTTGGTGACAGCTGTTCCCAGCCAGGCAGCCCTAGGGAAGGAGGCGGGGGGCCTGGGTGTACCTCCCCCACCTGTTCTCATGGGTCCCCACTCTGATCTGTTTTACCACCTCCAACCTGGGCAACCCCCCATCTCTGGAAAGAAGGAGGGAGCCCTCAGCTTGCTGAGCCCCCCCTTTCCAAGCCTGGGAATTTTTTGTTGTTTTTTTTTTTGTTTGCTGGGTTTTGCAGGCTGCTGGGGGTCAGAGGGAGAATATAACTCATGACTTGGATACCTGGGCCTTGCTTTTTGAACCCTGGAATTCTGCCTCCCCCCCTTTTGACTTAATCTCACTCTATTGCAAAATTAGAGCCACATCCCATGAGTCTCAAGGAGAATTAACTTTTTGAGAAGTGATGAGGGGGGCTGGGCGAGTGGGGCTCCTGGACCCCACAAGGCATGCTCCCTGGTCCTCCCTGAGTGTGGTCACCAGAGGCTCAGGGTGACAGGAGCAGGCACCTTGGGGTGCTGTTGATGCTTATGAGGGTCTTGCATGACCTGGGGGATGGGGTGTCACTGAGATTCCAAGGTGGGTCAGATAGGAAGTGATGGTATCATTCCACCCAAGTCGGCGGCCCATATTTTACTGGTTTTTGTTAACGACCATTCCCCATTTTGAGCCTCATCTCATCTCCCCTTTTGCCCTCCCTCCTCCCCCCCCACCCAGGTCCCCAGAGTTTGCAGACCTGGCTTTTTTTAGCAAGTGACCTGAAGGCTTTGGGCTCACCATACAACACCCACATTGTTTATTTCAAAAAACTTTTCAGCCAAGGGAGGGGAGAAGAGCTTCCAGAAAGATCTTTCTCTTTCCATAGCCACCCGCCCCCCCTTCTGTCCTTCTGCTGGCCTTTTGGCTCGGGTCGGAGTCTGGACAGTGCAAGGTCCTGGCCTGGACAGTGTGACCAGGGGCTGACCCCCCGCCCGCAGAGGGCAGGCCGAAGCAGGCGGAGTGAAGTTATCAGAAGAAGGTGTGTGAGCTGATTCAGGTCGAAAGGAGAGAAAAGGGGGGAGACGTTCCCCCCCCCCCCTGTCTGCAGGGGAATCAGCCAGTCAGAGCAAAACCCCACGCCCCCTCCCATCCCGCCGTGTACAGCTGTTTGAGCGCTTCATCATTTTATTTTTTTAAAAAAACAGGAATGATTTCTCCTCAATTGCTTAAGGCCGGGGAGCCAAGCGTCTTGACTTCTGTCTTTTTGACTTTCCCAGTGTCGAGTCCATCGGCCCTTGGCCGTGAGCTCGTGGTCTTCGCAACCTCAGAAACCCCTGAAGTTTAAAACTTTCTCGCTCCCCCCACCCGGACCCCACAATGGAACAGCTTTAAAAATAGCCTTAAGCAAAAGGATGTTATTTCATTAAATTTGGTTTAAATGGAAAAGAATAAAAGCAAATTAAAAACACACCCAGCCCACGAGATTCCAAACACTGGTAATTGGTACTGCATAGCAAAACTCTTCGGGAAAAGAAAATGAAAAACGTTATTGCACATGTAAAATATGAAAACTTAACTCTGCTGTGTGTTAGGCAATCCTGTAATCTTTTTTGACTCTTAAGAAGAAATTCATTTCTGAAATGCTTGGTTGGAAGACTGTGACAATAGCTCATGAAATTGAGTGTTATTTTTTTCTTTCTTTTTTTAAAAAAAAATATGTAAAGTGCAGTCTTCTGTATTCATGCATATTGTATATACCTGTATATGTTTTCCTGAGCAGCTAAATAACAATAAATATGACGTTAATGGTGACTGTGGTACGTTTGTGGGCGGGGCTTGCCTTATTTTTTTTTTCCCCCTCCTACGCCTCCCCTTTGCCTGTAGGTCTCTTCAAATCACCTGGGGGATGAGAGCGTAGGTCTGGATGCCGTCCTGTGTGTGTGCGCGCGCATGTGTGTGAGTGGACATGCGTGTGGTGATGTGAGTCTAAGTTGGGTCATCTCAGGATGTCTCCGCTCAGCGCTATTGACATTTGGTTGGGGGACCCTTCGTGGTGGGGGCTGCACTGTAGGGTGTTGAGCAGCATCCTTGGCCTGGGGATGCCAGTAGCACCTCTTCCCGCCACCCCCCGACGCCCTTGTGACAACCAAAACATTGCTCAGTGTCCCCTGGGAGGACAATCTGATAGAATAGTATCTGATTAATATAGGGGGGGAAGGAGTATGGGGAGACCCAGGTGGCTGCGCTGTGTGGTGGCTATTTTTGGAGTCTTCGAGTCCAGTTTCAGAAATCAGAAAGCTTTGTAAGTTCCTGCAAGTTATGCAGCTGCTCCGTTCCTCCGTGTTCTCGTCTGTGAAATGGGTCTAACTGGTGGGGTTGTCCTAGAAGACAAGGCAGCATGTGTGGACGCAGCAGCACGTAGGAGGGCTCCGCGTGCATACATGGTTAGCGTCGCGCCGTGGTCAGAGCCTGGCGCAGCCGACAGCGTTTTGGAGTCTGTTTCTCCTGGGTGGGTTGCTGGTGCCTCTGCGTCTGGCCATGGGCCGTGGTGGACAAGTGGTTCAACCCGGTCTCCATTTTCTTGTCTCTAAGATGGTGCAAATAACGTCTAGCTTGAAGGTCACTGTGGGCACCAGGCCTGCTTCAGCTCTTCCACCTGTAAAAGCTCTGGCTGTCCCTAGGCTGGCCTTCGGGCAGTAGCTTCACTCTGACACCTGCAGCCTTAGGCTTGAGGGCATTGCAGAACCTTCGTCTACAAAGGGGAGGATGGAGGGAAAAGGAAGACACGTTAAAAGTGAGGGGAATATGTCCCATAACGAATGGTACAAAGGATGGGAAATACGCTGAGAGATTCATGAACCCTGTGTAGGAGGCTTGGGGAAGGCTTCCTCCAGCAGGTCATGTCCGGTGGGGTTTTGACGGAGGAATAGGAGTTCATCCTATTCATCCCAGCATATAAATGGACCCCAATTTGGCAGCCATTGTGTTGTATTCCTTCCCGTCAGCTTAAAAGTTCTCTTAAATGTGCCACGACATATTCATCAGCATAGAGAGTTTTAAGGACAAGGCCTCTATATTCACTTTAATTTGGAAGAGCTTAAAAGTCTCTTTAACCTTTAAAGGTCTCCTGCTCAGAGTGACAGTGGTATATGATCATGTTCTGTACCCAAGGAAGGGAAGAAAAGTGAGAGAGTGATGAGCAGCGGGTATGGGCATTGGGGAGACTTGGGGTTGGTGTGAAATGAATGGATGAGTGAGTGAGTGAATTCATGTCTCAGAGGACCAAGAACCGAAAGGCCCACATGACATGGGCCCGTAACATCGGGATGGATATTGGTACTCGGGGGTGGGGGGAGGGAGGGCCGGGGCGGGGGCTCCCGCAGCAGGCTGGTACATCTTGCTAGGCTGGCCTTCCTATGTTGGCAGAGAAACCTCATCTTTGCCAGATGTCCGCCCTCAGAATGGCTGCCTCCTTCTCGGGCACCAACAACTCCGGAGGCCTGAGAGGCTGCCTCCTGGGAGGGGATGGAGGAGGAGTTAGAGCAGCGGTTCTCAACCTGTGGGTCGAGACCCCTTTGGTGATCGAACGACCCTTTCACAGGGGTTGCCTAAGGCCATCCTGCATATCAGATATTGACATGACGATTCATAACAGTAGCAACATTACAGTTATGACGTAGCAACGAAAATAATTTCATGGTTGGGTCACAACATGAGGAACTGTATTTAAAGGGCCAGAAGGTTGAGAACCACTGAGTTAGAGGGACCCTCAGCTCTCGAGAGCGAGGGGCAGGTGCAAGAAGGACACCCCATCCCACCTGCTTTGAACAAAGATTAGAAATATTCACAAGACCAGAGTGAAACATGGATTTCCCTCACTGACAAGGGGATCAGCGGGAAGGACCCCATCCGGGGCACCCCAACTGAGTGTAGCGGAGGTAGGGTGTGTGGGAGGTGTCAACCCTTTGCCCCCCAGACCAGGCTGACCTGAGCTGGCAGTGATAGGGGTGAGTATCAAATTCTGCAATGGTAACCCAGTGTGAGAGGATGGGTTTAAGACCCCAATTCTGCAATTATAATCCTGTGGAGCTGGCCCAGGAACCCGGGGAAAAATTTGAATTGATATACAAATTTACATCACACCAAAATTCTCCATTTTAATGATTTTAGCGTGCATAATTCGGTGGCTTTTTAGTGTATCCACAGTGTTGTGCAAACATGGATTCCTATCCAATTCCAGAACATTCTTATCACCCAAAAAAGGAACCTCGTACTGATTTTCAGTTAATCCCAATCATCCCCCTTCTTCTAGCCCCTAACTGACTTGCCGTGGCTTTGCCAGTCTGGACATTCCATATAAATGGAATCATATTTATGTGGCCTTTCGTCAGACTGCTTTTACTCAGCGTAATGCTTTCAAGGTTCATTCCTTTTTATGGCCAAATGCAACTCCATTGTTTGAATGTACCACGCTTGTGTAGCCATTTCCCAGTGGGTGGAATTAGAGCTGTTTTCCCCTCTTGACTATCACACATAATAATGCCGCTACGGAGCAGCCGTGTACGGGTTTTGGTGGGAACACGTGTTTCCAATTCTCCGGGGCGTACACACCTGGGAGTGTGATCACCTGGCCGCACGGAACTCCCGTGGCGGAACCTTTTGAGAAACCGCCATGCTCTTTCCACAGCAGCGGCCACATTTTACATCTTGGGAGGAGTTGTTCGTTTATTTAGCCCAGGGTTCCCCACCCCCCCTTTTTTGCGTGTTAAAATGGAGGTATAATTGCTGTGACATTGAGGTGAACTGGAGTGGGGTTTGGGGGACACCCTTGCCTGTTATCAGAACCTGCGCAGCCAAGTGTTAGGATCCCTCAGTGCACACCACGCGCTGGCCGGATGCTTACCCTGCACGTCAAGGCTCAGGAAGCTGGGGGCCAAGGTCACGCAGGAGGTGAGTGGCTGGCCGCATGCACGTTTGGGGGGCTCAGAGTTTGTGGGCTGGCAGGGGGGCCACCTCCTTTTATTTTTACCTATGGTAGGGATTTGAGCAAACAGGAATAACCTCCCAGCTCCCAGCTCCCAGCTCCCAGCAAGGCCTGTGGCCACCTTGTTTTTTCAGAGAGCGGGGACCTGGGAACCTGGATCCGGCAGCATCTCATGGTTGTTCAGGTAAGGAAGTCAGCCTCACTCTATGACGTGGGAGGGGCTAGGGGGAAGAGAGGGGCTGGGCGGCAGATGGTCCATCAGCTCGCTGGCTGGGCGGCTGCTCTCTGAGCCTCAGTTTCCGCATCTGCAAAATGGGGCCAATTCTAGCACCCACCGCACAGAGAGGTAAGGCCTCAAGGCGGTAAGCGGGCTTCGCCCAGGGGCTGCTCTGAGCAAACATTCAGCGCCGGTCAGCTGCTGTGGTGGCAGAGTGAACCGTTTTGTGCCTCAGTTTCTCCCGGTGCAGATGGAGGTACAGTAATAACAGGAAACACCCGAGATGCTTGCTCCAAGGGGCCTCACGTGGGTGAATTATATCAACAGCTGATGAATTGTATTGATAGCTCATCATTACATTAGGAGCCTCATCGTCCAGAGAAGGAAGCTGAGATGCAGAGAGGGAAAGCCGCTTGGCTAAGGTCACCTGGGCACTTGCTGGAGGCTCCGCTCCCGGCACTGGGAGGATTCAACCGTGATAAGCACAGGGCAGGCTGGGCCTTTCGATTTGAGGGGCCGGGTCTTTCTGGCTCCATTCTGGGCCCTGTCCACAGTCCCCACCCTGTTCCCTGCCCTGGGCAGAGCCCAGCCAAACCTCCCCCATCCCTTTGGCTGGTGTTGGCTACGGAGGCAGGGAGGAGAGGCTGGGGAGGGGGAGGCTTTTGATTTCCCTCCTCCCTTCGCTGCCTGCACAGGTGCTCCTGGCTGCCTCCCCTCCAGCCCTCAGGCAGGACCAGAGGGGAGATGATGGAGGCGGGGACTCCTGTCCCCCAGCCCCTCCTCTTGGGGCTGCGTCCTGCATGTCTGGCCGGTGGTATGAGAGCTGGGGGGCCTGCAGGGACACCGGGATCAATGCCACTGGGAGCTGTGGCTGCTGCGGCCTTTGTCCTCTCCGTTACAGCTCCTCCCCATAGGGTGGGGGAGCCTGACCCCTCCGGACTCTCACCCGCAAAAGCGCATTCTTCCCGGTGCCTCCGGAGCCCCCTCCAGCTGCCCCAAGCAGCCCCCTCTCCTCCAGCCTTTGTCCCAGAGAGGACCCCTCAGGAGCTCGCAGCCCCTCAGAGGACAAAGGGCTCATTGAGGCGCCAAGCCGGGCAGCGGGGGAGGAGAAGGGTGTAGGGCAGAGTGACTGAGGATCGTGGACAAGGCTGGAGTGCCCAGGGACCAGGTTCGAATCTTGCTCTCACCACACAAACTCCGCGTGGTCCCGAGGACCCTGCCTCTGGGAGCCTCGATTTTCCCATCTGTGAAATAGGGTGAGTAAGGGATGGTGAGCGTCCACAGTGGCTGGCTATTGCCTGTAACGTCTATTCATAACGTGGGGTGTTATATTGTTCACATAGATCCCAAGGCCACCGTTGTGCAAGGAAACCCCTGAGGCCGGCTGTGTTTCCAAATCTGGAATTTGGGAGAATGAGAAAGGTGGGCTTATGCCGTGTGCTCAGTGGTACCCTCCAGGGGGGCTGTAATCATATATTGGAAACCATCGGTGTACTCTTGTTAGGTGGGATAAATAAAAACCTCTAGGCACACACATTTGGGAAAAAAACTTTCCGATGTTGGAGCCTTTTTGAATTTCAGAATTGCATATCACAGAATGTTACCCTTCAT